CTGAAGTGGTTACATCCCCTGTGGGAGCTCGATGACTTCCATCCCGGGAGCTGTTTGGTTTTGTGCCCACACTCCTCCCACAGACAAGCTGCTGCACAACCTCACTGCTTTGGATGGGGTGAATCTTCTTTGCATTTCCAGCCTCAATTTATTCATGGCCAGTTTGCTCCCATTTGTTCCCATGCCAGCACTGGCCGTTAGCTTAAATAGCTCTCCCTGGTGCTGGATTTATTCATCTCAGTGTGTTTGTAAGGAGCAAGCAGCTCCTTGCAGCTTTCATTTCATGAGGATGAGACCAAAGCTGCTTTAGTTCGCCTCTTGTGGAGAGGCAATGCTCAATCCTCACTCCTCCCTGTTCCACTACTCTTCTCTTGAGCTAAACTGAATTTACCTGCCCTGAATCTTCCCAGGACAGGCTGGGAGGGATGATTGCAGCCAGGATGATCGCAGCCTGGCTGAGCCCAGATGCCAAAGATGCAGCTGCAAAAGCAAACACTGAGCCAGCCACAGCAGTGAAATGGAGTAGGGAGGGGAGAGCTCCCAGCAGACTTGGGCTGGAGGAAAAACTGATTGCGGTGGTGATGTGAAAACACTGTGACATAGAAAAGCCAACACATGCTTAATTAACTCCTGCTGGTGGACCTTAATGTAGAGAGCAGGGCTGCTTTGCCTTTCCTCATCTCCCTTCAACAGCACATCTCTCTGTTCTCTGTCCTGTCTTATGTCCTTCCCTGTGTCTGTCCCACCTCTCCTCCTACCACTCCCCTTCTTGCTTTCTTTCTGGAAGTCTTTCACAGTCCCATTCTGGACTGTACTGGGAGGCTAGTCAGAGCTTAGAAAGGCAATTGCTTTCCCAAAAGTCATCCACAGCAGCCACCAAATGCTCTGAAGGCACCTAAGGAAGAGCTTTAAACAGGTTTAAACTGCTAGCTGTGCTTATGAGCTGTCAGGGGCTTTGCGTGGGCTCCGGTTTGCCAGTAAATGCCCTCCCACTCTCACCAGAATCCAGAGGTCCCCAGGGTGTTGAAACTGAAACTTTGGCTCAAACCAAAGGCATGACTGAAAATTACTGTATTGCACTCAAGCAAGCAAAGGCCATCTCTTCTAGTGCACATACATACAAGACTGAGCTCTGTTCCTGAAATTCAGACCCTTAATCCAAACTCATCCCTGTCAGACCTGACAAGTTAAATCAGCTTCTCCCAAATTCCTCCTCTCTCCCAGTCTTGCATCCCCTCTCATGAAGCCCAGCAAAAGCCAGCCGTCAGCGGAGGTGGTTTCTGTGGCAACTCTAAAAGTCACCATTTGGATGATCCTAGAACTGCACATCTTCCTCCCATCGAAAGGACCAGGCACTTCACGCAAAGAGATAATGGACAATCATAAATTGCTGTATATTGCAGTAGTCCCTGTTGCTACCTGGGAGATGCATTTGTCACCTAGCAACGACATAAGGTGACGAGGAAATAACAGATTTTTAATCTAATGGCCATGAATTAACATCTATTGGAGAGCAGCCTCCCAAGTCCACTGATGAGGTGGATATAATTGATTGAGGAGGCAAGAGATACCAAACTTTTCATCAGTAAGTGGATGAGGAAGAGGGAGCAGGGGTTACCTTTCATATGGGGGAAATGACAAAAAGCCTAGAAAAATCCCTCAGACTGTAGATAACCCTTGGACACAAGGCTACCTGAAGATGAGTCTCTCAGTATTGCAAAACCCCGAAGGCAGCAATGTCACAGTAGGCAGGGAGCAGGCAGGAGGGGTCACAGCTTGCCATGGGTTTCAGGACAGATCTCCTCTGGGTTTTTCGTGTAAGGTCCTGGCTGGCTTAGAGCAAGTGCTGGGGCTCTTTATGATATTCACGTATTCAAGCTGCTCATCAGATCACAGGCAGGGTTGCTGAAGCAGCAGCTCTTTTCAGTATTGGGATCACCCCTCAAGCAAAAGCCAGGCCTGTTTGTAGCCAACTCTCCTCCCAACATCGTTACCAAGAATACAGGGGCAGGCTCCATAAATTGCCACCACCACTTGAAACCTCTGTATGGGACCAACCAGCAGAAAATTTCAAAGTTTGCCTTTAGGCCAGGAAGCTGAGCAGTGAATTCAATTCTTCCCTTTTTCTTCTAGAAATAGACCCAGAACAGATGCTATGCATTATTTTTCAGTACCAGGAGCTCATTTTAGTACCTGCCCCCTGAAATACTGGGGATGACCCATTCAGTAGCTCTAAACTGGAAGTACCCTAGGTGCTGGCAAGAGGCAAGTAATTGTGAGAGGAAGAAATCTGAAATTAGTTCACTGATGGATGATCTCTTTGAAGCCTGAAACTGTAAGAGTCACAAGGTTGCCAGCAAGATTGTGCACATTTTTATACCACAGGAGCTTTTTCTTTTAAGAAAACAGCTAAGAAATTGGTTTGGCAATTTACTGTTGAACAAAATTGAAAAGGACTGGTCTGAACCAGGACACCAACATGTTCAGACCATTTATATTGTGTAGCACATGTACTCAGCAACATGATGAGAGATGCTTTCTCAGAGGGCATCGTTTCAGAGGATTGCCTTTAATTAGCAGTGAGGTGAAAGTAAACATTTGAGAACACCAGGGTTTGGACTGGGTTTATGCAAAACTTTAACAATAAATGACAAACCTGGGTTGAGTACGTGTATCAGAGTTGTTTAGACTTCTTGACCTTTTAGTTGAAGCAAAGCCACAGAGGTATATCTCAAGAGCAGCTTAGCTTTGTCAATCATTACTAAAGTAATGGCATCACAACATAATGCTTAACTTCTGGAGTGATGGCTAAACATATTCATGGCAACACCTTTTGTGTTAAATCTGGAAGAACCATAGTTAATGGTGTGTTTCAGCCACAGGATCTAAACTTCGGTGACAATCTATTACTGACTGCCGAACAAACCAGGTTCATCCGTTCTGCCATGATCAGAGCTACAGTGCAAATGACCTTCCACCCCTGTTTAACTACATCATCGGGATGTATGCATTGGGATCAAATCGGTCCTTATATTGTGCAATGAAATTTTGTATCCCTTATGAGAACCACGGGGGATGTGTGCGTTTTCGGATGCGTTTTCTTCGCAAACCAACCCCTGGCAGCTGCATAACAGCAGTAGAGGTGCCAGTGGTGGTTGTCTCAGGTTGGGAAGAGTTTCCTTCATCCTTGGTGCACATATTTGAGGTGGTAGGCACAGTGCATAGGAGATGGTTGGAGGTAGCTCTGCTTTTTCTGCAATGCCAGAATTGCAGCTGAAGGCAACATGTAATTAAAGCATGGCCTCACGATACCGTCTCCAGTGATTCTTTATTTGTAGCAGGCCCTGTTAAATACAGCCGTGGGTTAATATGGAACTAAGCTTCAGCAACAGGAATTTGTGAACAGCTATGAAAATACTGAAACAACTGCAAGGTGCTGACCTTAAATAGTGTTCCTTTAACTTCTAGCAGCTGTTTGAGTGTGTCCATGCAAACCCGAATTCATTCCCTGACTAGCAGTAATTTCTGAAGCGTAGGAAGCCATTGGGTAACGTGTTCTCTGGCTGAAGGCACAATGTGCAGAGAAGTTTTAAAAGCTCCAAATTACAGAGGCTAAAACACTGCTGCAAACAAAGCTCTTCCCACGTTTCTCCTGCTAGTGATGCAGAGACCTGGAACTTTGTGTTTCACTTCATGGATCACAGGAACTGGAGTTCTGTGTTTAACCTTCTTCCAGGTAACCAAACACTTCACTGGGGCCAGGCTGATTTTAGGGATTTTGTGCGGGGATGATTTCAACTTTCATAGAATTTAGTCATCAGCCCTTTTTATTTTGGGGGGAAGAATTTTTTGAGGAGCTGATGAATTTGGGAAGGATTTAATATTTGCAACAATTTGCCACAATTCCAATTAATGCAGAGAAAATCTGACTGCCTTAATGCTTTATTCCGTCTATGGCTATAGAAATGGAAGAGCATGGGACTTCAGCAGCACGGGTGGGTGTTTGGCTGCATTGATAGATTACTGCCTCAGAGCAGATGCACTTTTCTGCAGTTTAACTACGCTAAGGTACCTCTGCCAAGGTAGTTTGAAAGATGATAAAAGAGAGTCCAGAGATTGTCATTCAGCCATGAAGAATACTCAAGGTACACATAATCACAGCAACTGGCTGTCTGTTTTTGACCTGTTATTCTAATAATCAGTTGAAGTGCAAAAACAAAATTAAAATATTCTGCACCAGGGTGCATGTGTGACATGGCAAATTAGCTCAGTTTTAAAAGGACACGTCTGGAAGAGTTGAAGCTTCTGTCTTTTTCTCTATTCCTCGTTTGGGCTTCAACTGCTCATGAGATTTTGTAGATAATGTTTTATATTAAAGACTTCTTATACCTGAAGACCTCTGGTGAAACTAGCGACTGAAGGGCAGTGTGTGCACAGGATCAGATGCGTTATAGAGATTTGTGGGGTGATTTCTTGCTGTTTACAGTGACACAGGCTTTGCACAACAAAATCCTTACAAATAAGTCCTGTTAATTGGAGATGTAATACGAGATCTCTCAATTATACATATTTGATACAAATTTCTAATATAGAACAGAACTTTCCAGTTTGACTAAGTCAGTCAGAAATCGTTATGTGTTTTGGATATACACAGAAGGAAATCCAAAGTAATGGTTTACAAATTACATTCTAATAGTTTTCTTCAAGAAACAAATCTAATTCTTCCACCTTGCTCATTCTGCTTCCCAGTGTTATTGCAATTTTATACCTGATCTGAAGTTTTTTGTAGCAAATTTGGGCGAGTGTTATAACACACCTAACAAGAGTCAGCCAAAAATTGTATTGAATTTGATTCAATCATACCAATGAACCACTCCAGTTACTTTGTACCCAGATAACCTGAAACCGAGGCTAAAATCAACAAGGCTTGCAAAAATAAACTTGCTTGAGCAGAGAGTAGAAAATATACCTGAAAAACAAGTTTCGGGTTCACATATTTGCAATACCTGAAACCTGACTCTGAGAATGATGCACCACTACTATCTGAAAACAGGAAAATGCTGGGTAGAGCACACATCTGGTCAAAACAGCTCCAATTTACAGCTACATTCACAATTAGCTACTGGAAAATGAGCTATAGACAAAGAATTTGGTCACGGGACATTTTCAGCAGACATTTCTGAATAGCAAACCCAGTTCTGTAAACAAGTCTCTGACACCTGCTTGCATCTCCCAGCTCTCATCCTTCCCTCTTTCACATAAAAAAAAATGCTTTCCCCTTGTCCCAGCTTTCACCTGCAAACTGTTGAATTTATCAAGCTCTCTGCGAGGTTATCCACTGGTTTTGATACGGGCTAGCTCAAACCAGAGACACGCAGAGGTGAGAGCTCAGCCCTGCGGTCTTTCAGGAGAGGTCTGGTTTTCATCCCTGCAGAAGCCAGCACCTGTATGGCTCTTCCTCTCTGACTTCCCACTCTAAGTTCAGTAATTATGCTGGTAAATTATAAAAAACCAACACATATCTGCCCTCTCTGATTTACACATGTGTTTTCAGTTAGCAGACTCTGAGTCGGACTGTGAGCTTGGCGAGAGGTGAGTGTGACTCTCCATTTTCTCACCTGCGGCTGCTCCCACCCTGGGCTTTTTTGGGGATGCTGTGCTCCTGCCTGGCACACTGACACGGCAGAGGAATGAGGGCATCCAGGAAAGGGCCATTTAGTTTTATTTCCAAAAGAGGAAAGGGAGGCTGGCAACCCTTTGGGTTTTCAGCAAAAACACTGGAGGCCAGTGTTCAAAGGCAAACCAGTTGCACGGTGCTTCATGCAGCATCTGCATCTGCTCCCATCTACATAGAGAAACTTTTAATAGGGTTCACTTGATGGAGGAAAACTTCTCAATCCTCTGCTTACTGATGATGCTTTTCTTCATGTTTGTAGACGTGTGTTGGAGCCGGTAAGGTCCCCTCACGCTGGACTGAAAGCTCCTTTTATTTTTCCCTTGTTAGGTGTGTCGGGCAGAGCGATGAAAACTTTAGCAGCTGGTATGTGTGGTAAGTTTCAGATCTGTTTTAGAAGGAAAAACTGGCAAATAATATTCTTTGATGGATATATAGAGAGAAAGGCATTAAGAGAGACTGATAGCTAGAGAGCATTGCTCCTGGGCTGTCCCTGTGTTCTGTCTTTACTGACTAATGGGAATCATTTATCCATATCCTCCTCACTGTATGCTGACAACTGAGCTGGGCAAAACTGATGAATGATTTTGAGGAGAAATGTTTGAATTTCCAGCCAGCACTCAGCGCTGAGCACTCAACACCGAGACATTGGTTTCCGGGGACTTTGATCATGTCCAGTACATTGATGGGGAAACTGCAACATTTAACGGCTATTTGCAAAAGATGTTAATGAATATGTTAATTTGAAGACATGCAGCCATCTGTTGGTGCTGCCCACAGATGGTGATGGTGCTGTTCCCCCCCTCCTGCCTCTGCCTCAGGTTCCTGATGTTGTTTTTCCTGGCCTTGCTCCTGTCCTGCGGGATCTGCTGCTGCCTGCAGTGCTGGCTGAAACGGCGGAGTTGCCTCCCCCACCGAAGCACCCTGGCTGTCTTTGCACTTAGCAGCTCGGATGCCTTTTGCGGTTAGTCCTCTCTCTACCTGCTGCAAGGTCCTGCTGGCCCCGGTGGGCTTCTCCATGGCCCATCCATAGCCTAGTAAGAGGCAGCCAGGCTTGAGTAGGAGCTGGGCTGCAGCTGGGTGCTGAGTTTCTGGTGAACAGTGGGGAGTCCAGCCCAGGCATCTTGTGGGGGATATTTGGACCATGGACTGGAGGGCTTAAGCAAGCCACGTCCTCTTTTGCCCAGCCATACCTTCAGCTGAACTCAGTGCTCTCCCTGTGTCCGTGTGTCCCAAAGGTCCCTAGCTGGGGTTTGGCCATGCTAACACTGGAGATGTGTGGGACCTTGTCCTTGGTGCCAGGACACTCAGCTACCTGACATGCACAGCCACGGGCACTGCCTGGGGACAGGCAGCACTTTCCAACATGTGACCTGCATTTCTCACTCAGGCAAGACTGCACCGGTCTACTTGAGCCATCCCAGCAGGCGACTGATACATCCTGGGGTCTGTCAAAAAGTTGTCTTGGTGGGTGCTGTTCTTCACAGTAGCCACCCTCAGCATTCCCCCAGGAGCACCCAGGCTTTAGAGGACTGGGCTATAATGACTATGTGTAGCACCCAGCACTGACCCTGGGGTATTACCAGCAGCATCAGCAGGCAGGGCCAGACAACAGTCCCTCCAAGAAGAATAAAGCTAATTCTGTCATGCCCTTCCCAGAGGAGGTATTGCCTGCTTTCTGGGTGGTCATGAACAGTGTCTCCGCAGGGACGACCCACCCTAAATGCACCCAAATTCCTCTGTTCTCACTTCTTGCATCTGGAGTTTGTGGGGAGAGGCTTTGTGATGCCATGCTTCAAAAATTACTTCCATGCCTTTCTTGTTTCCAAGTGGTTTGACAGCTCCTCCCAGGCTCACCTCTCTCACCCCCTGCGCTCACTCTTCACACCTGTCTACTGAACAATTATGGCTTTGCTTTTTTCCAGCAAGTGAAGCACCTCAATGCCCATTCTCTGGATCTCCAAGCCCCTGCATGACTGCGGAGATGTCTTCTCCTGCCCCACAGTTCAGCCTTGGGGGAACTGAGTTGCCTCCATCCTATGAGGATATTATGAAGGAAAACAAGCTCTAGATGTCATGTGTTGGCTTTCTGCGATTCCACTTGGTTCATTGGGGATCTTCCATTATGCTACAGCAGCGTGAGATCAAATCAGCCTTTTCCACAGGTTGGCCAAGAGACTGAAAAGCAGCACATATTTCATCTGAACATAAAAGGGGAGACAAAATGCAACAGAATAAATGCCAAAAGCATGTGTTGAATCTCTCACAGGAGCTCAGCTTGACATTTTGATAGGGCTCTGGATTTTGAGAAGCTCCCTCAAAAGTCTGTCTGTGTTTGGGGTTTCTGGCTCAGCCTCCAGATTTATCTCTCTAAGGCTGCTCAAGCTGGTGCAACCCCATGTGTTTTAGGACCGAATGTTGATAAATGACTTGAGAGTTACTTCTCAAACTTGGGCTGTCTCCTTCACTCGGCACAGTGCCAACAAACACCCTCTGGCAAAGTCATGTTGTTCTAATACATTGTAATGCAATCATGCCACTCTGCGATGAAGGATCGTTTGCCACATTTGAAATATTTAGCACAGCATATCAGATTTGTCTAGTGCAAAAAGCAGCAAATTTATGGCCAGGGAGGGAAAGCAGGAGATGGGCATCATGGGGGCGGGGGGAGTAAGCAGCAGCAGGAGCTGGCTAAAGAACATGGGAAAAAAGTGAGTTTGCTCATTTAAGCTGTTTTTAATTTCATGGTGACTAACCCCAGCTACTCTTGCCCTAGCATTGCAGACCTATGGGCTTTGAATCACCCAGGACCCACATGGCAGTTCCTCATAGACATGAATTATGGGGTTAGGTATTTGGTGCTTAGCTACAGAAATGTATTAGGATAAAGAATGCCATTTTCTTTGAGGTGACCACTGCAGACAAGATGGGAAGAGACTTCAAGAAGACTGCCTTATACCCAAGCAAGATCAGCTCTACCTAAGCCATTCCTAGGAGGTATTAGCCTGCCTAGTTCTCAAATTACAGAGGAAAGATGCCAAAATTCCCCCTTAGCTGGATTCCAGATGAAAGCAAATCTTTCCTTTGTTTGTCATGGGCAGGTCACTGCAGGCTGGATTCAGCCTGCCTGACCTCTCTACCTCTGCTCTTTCAATGGTGAGGGCTGGGGGCTGCAATCAGATACCTTTTCATGCAGAAGGTCAATGTCACCACTAGTGCTGTGCACCACGTCCCCAGGGAGCCACGAGCTCACAGTCAAGCAGCTGGGCAGCTGGGTCCATCTTAGGTACCCCAAAAGATTAATGGAGTCCCACAGCCTGCCTTATGGAGCAGCTCACCACCTGTAGAGTGGGGTTAGTACCGATTCCGCGGCTCAGGAAGGAAACTGGGAAGATAAATCCACTAAAGGTTATGAAGTGCTCACATATTCTCATAATGAGGCTATATAAGTACCTTCGCTAGATAAAGAATTATAGCATTTTTGAGAGACAAATTCTCTGCCAGCACCGTCGCAAATTACCTCCATAAAATCTTATTTTAGAAGCAACTTTAATGTTTGACTCTTGTGTGAAAGGAAATAAATGTTACTGTAGCAAAATGAATGTTTGTGCCAGCAAGCTAAAATATTACAGGGATTATTAATAAGGAAAATTAGCAAGTACAGACTCAGCCAGCAGAGAAGTCGAGCAATTCCTGAATGTCCTTTTTCTGGCTGAACTTAGTAAGAATTGCAGGTAATCAGCACCTCTCAGGATCAGACCTTTTATATATATATAACTGCTTCCACTACTCAACCCCTTCAATTTATGCCCCGAAGCATGAGATTTGATTATGTTTGTCACTTCAGCTTGCATAGCCTGCTAGTGGGCATTAAATCAGCCATCAATTCCTTCCCACCTACACACTACATTTGCTTCAGTGACCCTTTGTGGAAGTGAACTCCACAGGTTGTCTGTATTATAAGCTGCATAAAACATTACCGTCTCCCGCTTATTAATTGCTTGGCTCTAAAGAAATTGCTGCCTTTAATTTCATTGAATGTCACCTTCTAATCAGCTGGCTGGAGAGACTAACAAGCAAGGACTGCTCTGGTTTCAATGCCTCCATCACTCTGCATCCCTATTCCACAAGGTCCAGTAAGTGGCACTCAATACCGAACAGTAAATCCTTCCCCAGCCACCCAACAGAGGGCAAGCGAGGCTTTCAGCAACGCACCCAGGAGGCTGCCGCTCTTGCAGAAACCGTGGGAACAGCTTTGTGTTTCTGTGCTACTACTGCGCATTCAAGTGCATTCGGCTTCGTGTTTGGGGTGCTTTAATTATTCACAAAAGGAATACAATTATTCCATCAAAATTACATCAAGTGGCTTACAGTAAAGCAAGCTACTGGCTGTCGCAAAATCAGGCTCCAGCTGGACCCACCTGCAAAAAGAGTTTGTATAGGGTTGCTTGGGGTGGGGGGGGCATAAACTGACCTTGCTGCTAGGTTGGGGTGGGGAAGGAGAGTACCCTGAGAGGGGGCTCAGTGGGCACTGCCATGGTCCTTGGCTTCCTGATCATTGAAATGAAGAAAAGGATGGGTTCCTTCCTTCTACAGATGTATTTGGGATGGCCCCACCGACCTACTGTTGCCTATGAAAGCTGCTTCTCCCAGCCTGCCCCCTTACTCCCAAGTGCTCCAGCAGAATGGGCAAGGTATCTCCAGACCTGTGTTCCCATTCTTACAAAAGCAGAGATTTTGGCTGGTATCTTATGCTTTAGTAAGCACTCAGCCCTTAATGAGGGCAGTTAATGCAGTTTGGCTGACATTTCCAGAGTTATAAGGAAAGATGAGCCATTCCTTTATAATTCATCACCTTAGGAATAGGGTCCACTTCGGAAAAGTACTTGTTCTGCTGTGAACCTCTGGCTGCCACTCATCCTCTGACTTATATTACCTGCTGACTTTGAGAAGAAACAGCAAGCTGCTCTAGAAAAACCCAGAAAACACTAGAAGGCAGATGCGTTCGTGGGGGAACTTGTTGTCAGTAAACCTTGAGAGGGGGAAACAGGAGCTGTGCAGAGGAGCTAATTGCTTGGTGACCATCTGGAAGCAAAAGACGGAGGGAACGTGGTGAGGCACATGGCTAGACTTTCACCTCCACACATCAAGAGATGAATAATAAAGTCATAAACTGGCTCTCGGGCAAAATAGAGCAAAACCAAAGGCAGCTGAGTCATAACAGGGGATCGGTCAAGGCTGCCAGGAGGGTTGCACACGAAAGATGGGAAAATAATAGAAATGCTCATTAATCTGTGTTTTATTGTCATCTGAAGACTCTGGATTATGGACTAAAGGCTTTTGCGCAGGGAGGAAGAGGAGGGGGCCGGGGACAGATGCTCGCTCTCTTCAGGTCACTAGATGGCACAATTCTGGCTCGTTCCTTTCCCGCTCAAAGGCATCTTACAGCAGGGACCCCAGAGCTACGGGGAGAAAATTGTTCTCTGCTCCCTGTAACAGTGCTTGAACAGAATATTTCAGTCATTAATCGCTTGTCCACAATATTTAACAGATGCAGAAGAGCAAACTGTGGGGGTCCAGCCCCAGCTGAGAGAGAAAACTTCACCTTCTTGGTGGAATTGTACTTTTCTCTCTTGGAAAGTTTATAAAATGACTATAAGTAGATGTGTCTAAACTGGGGATAAAGTCTACAGTTGTTGAAGACCTGTTGCTGTAGGTGTGCACTGGGGCCTGGGGTCTGTAGCTACCAGCAAAGGTCTGGGCGGTGTCCAAAATCACTTTCCCGAGGGCTGGTCCTGTTTGTGCTGCTGCCTTTTGTGTGTCCTTGCAGGAGCAGTGATTTCTGACAAAAGTCAGAGCAGGTCACCTGGCAAAGCACCTTTCTGGGCGAAACTTGGACGTGGGTTAAAGAAACATGACACTCAAAGGCAACTGCATTTATTATACCTCACTAATGCTACAATTTGTAAGGAAAACATAATTTTGAAGTTACATTCTTATCTACTGAAAATAATAGTTCAGATCTACTGAATTCACACCAAAATCACATTACAATGTGTGTCAAAAGGCGGGAAATCCATATTTTGGGAAATATTCATGCAGCTGCAGTAGAAGATAGTTTACTTCACAAGGTCACAGTAAGAGTGAGTCCTAATTACAGCCGGAGTTATTAAGAGCCCTTATGAACAAGGCTGATCGAGGTAGTGAGAGGACGAAATATTGCATGCAGAAAAGGACAGCCATTGCAGATACCATTGTTTTGCTCTCTCACTTGCCTGTATCAACACAGGAAATCAATATCTATCTGTAAGGCATGAAATCAACTTAGCAAAGAGCTTACCTACAAGACTTTGCTATTTTCCATAACCTGCAAACAGCCGGATCCCTGGCAGACTGCACCAAGCTGTGTGCTGTCAGCGGAGAGGGCAATGGGGAACCCCAGGTTCAAGGAGACACCACGGGGTGGGTACAGCAGGGAGGAAATGTGGGAGTCCCAGCTCTCAGCTAAGTCCCTGACTCTGCCTATACCCTGGGAAATGAAGCAATGAGACTGACATGCCCAAACATACAAAATACTCTTTGGAAGTTAGTGAAAATCTGGGGAATCCTAAAAGGCTGTTGGCATTGAAGAATTAAATGTTGGGCCTCAGCTGGAAATTGCAACTGAGCAAAGAGCCTTGGTAAGCCATCAAAGGCCATCAGGAAGGCAAAGTCAGTCTATTGTCATTCCTAGCGAGCTGCTGCTGAATGGGATGTAGGTAGGTATTAAGGAAATACCTTAATATTTGAGCTCACCTCACCATATTTAGCCTTAGGGACTGGTTGTAATTCTGAAAGAAAAAATAAGTCCTGTGTGCTTTCTGGGACGTTTCTTGGTAATGAATAAACAACCAAACTAAAATAGATCTGCATTGTGGCATGGTAATGAGCTAATGAGGAGTGAATACTGCAGTGATGAAATCAGTCAGAATTAAATCAAACAGTGAATTAACAACTGATCAAAATATCAGATAGACTGTCAGCAGGATTTGAATAATGAAGCAATGCAGCATTGGACTGGTTGTTACAAAA